TGTCTGAAGTCATGAACGTTAGTTGGTGCTCCAGTATAATCGGTACGCCTGAAACTCATCCAGTGAGAAACGTTCCGCGGTGCAAAAATAAGTGCGATTAAAATGCGTTATTTTTTTTAACGCGTTAATTTTTGTGTAATTAATTAATCTTAATTAACGCGTTAAAGTCCCGGCCCTAGTAAAAACAAATGCAACATTTGCACAATCTAAAATGAGAAACTGTAACTGCAAGTAACAAAGTCTGAGCCATGGTAAAGAGTTACATTGAACACCAAGCTGATCAGATAACTCCCTGGTTGGTCTGAAGTCCTTCTATCTCCAGGATCTGTACAAATCGGCACATTATGCCAAAAGTCTTCTCACTGGGTGAGCTGCTTTGCAATATACTTCACATTGTTAGAAAAGGCTCCAGAAGGCCTTGGGGACATCAGTATCAGGGGCTGGAGCTGGACAGGCTCTTTCATCAGCACTTCTCCTTCCCTTTGCCAGCCAGGACCTCACATACTGTTCCGGATTGAACTGTCCTAGTGATGGTCCATTACATTTAATGAAAACCAGGCTGGACAGTCGGCTGACAGAGAGAGCATTCCTTTTTGCAGTAAGGATATCGTTCATGCAGCTGAATGCCCGCTCACACTCACTAGTGGAGACAGCGATGGTTCGGACTGCTTTCAGTAGAGGCTCCATGGCAGCAGGTGTACGGGATGCCCTGGTTTCCTTGTATTCGCGAAAGCCCTGAACAGTCTCTCTTCTGTCCACTTTCAGCACTTCGCACAAACGTAGCACCTCTACGTCCCCATACTGTACGTCTAACTCCTCTTCAGGCCAACTTCCAGGATGGATAACTTTCATGTCCTGGATTAGCTGATTGTCCCGGGCCTCCCGGCCATGTAATGGGATTTCTCTTGTGCTGACATGAGAGGAGGTTGTGGAAGTCATTATGTGTCTCAGATTCTCTACCATACTGCGGAAAAACTGACCTGCATGAATCTGTACAAGCCTGCCATTCTCACGCAGGGCAACACCCTTGAAGGACTTCTCAGCTAGAGCTGTATGAACTGTAGTCATGTGTGGGCCAGGCATGGTGACCATGGATTCAAAAACTCGTATTTCTCGAGTTAAGAGCCTATCTGCTGTAGGCAGTGTCATCTCTCTTTTTTGGAGTTGCCGAGAGAGGTCGCTGAGCTCTGTGAGCGCATCGTACATCAGTCCCAGATTGCTGACAAACGTTGCAGATGTGAGCACATCATCCAGGCCCTTGTACTTTGCTCTGTCTCTGGAATCCCTGCTCGTGTCGTTTGCAGCATTTGTGAAGTGATCATGAAGCACTCGGTAGTTTTCCCAGACTGCTCTGACGCTCCTTTCACTTGAAGCCACCCAGCGGATGGACAAAACACGCCCTATAACCAGGAGACGCTGTCCGACTGCTTGCGCACACTGCGCTAACTGCCTCTGATTTTTGGGGGAGGCATGGAACAAGGAATAGAGTTTGTCAAAAAAGATCTGGAAATGATTGAGCCCTGAGACCTCCTTGACCACATCCCCAACTGCCAGCTCTAGACGATGATTGGAGCAGTGCCACACAAACAGGCTTGGGAATTTACTACACAACTGGGTAGCAACGCATGTTCTTTTCCCTAGCATGACTGAAGCCCCATCACATGCAAAAGAAACGAAACACTGACCTAAAAAGTCCTCGTTAAAATCTCTTCCAAGACACTCCATTAACGCCTTTGTGATGTCATCAGCCGTTGTTCCATCCAACTCGATCAGCTCCCAAAAAAACGTTTCGGGCTCAGCATCAGCTAATGCTGAGCGTAGACAAACAACAAGCACCGTTTTACCACTAATAGTGGTAGATTCATCGACCAAAACACAGAGTTTTCTTTGGTTTTCTGTAATGTCTTTTGCCATTTTTTTCTTCAGCTCATGAGCTATGTGGTCGATGATTTCGCCACAGGTTTTATTGGAGTGCAAAACCCTGCCCACGTTCAGCCCATTCAGTTTCTGTACATTCAAATCAATTGGCATGTCTGTGAATGGCCGGCTATGTTTGCCAATTTTATATGCCGTTCGAAAAACTCTGATAGTGGTGTCTAATTCAGATTTATGCATTGACTGCACTTGATGTTGAATAGTTTCACGTGAAGCAGATGTAAGGATGTCAGCAGCTTTTACATGGGCTTGTGATTCTTTATGTTCTTTGATTTTTTTTCTCAGGCTAGCTTGTTGTTTGCCCTTGTCAACACCGAAATGAGACACTGCACACTCACCCCATTCAGTTGACAGTTTCAGTCCTTGTCCAGTGTGTATTCCCAAATATTTGACATCTCTGCATATCCGACATCCTAGCTTCTTATCTTTAAGAAGGAGCCATGCATTGGTCTTGCAAAAATATTGCACCTGGTCCGTTGTCCAGCAGTCAGGTGCATCGCTTTGCCCGGTGTTGGTGGTGGCAGTTGCGCCAGCAGCAGCTAACGTTAGAGGCTCTGGAGGAGGCGGCGGAGCTAGTGCTAATGCTAATGCACTAGAACTTGGAGCAGGAGGATCAACCAAAGAAAGCTCCCCATCAGACACAATTTCCAACACAGGCACAGCATTCTCTGTATTTGAAGTTTCTTCCGGCAACAACCGCTGTCTTTTTGCACTTTTATTAATCCACGCTAACATTTTAGAAATGCTAATTTGTGACGTGACTTGCTTTCCTTCTCTCGGGGGCGTGCCTGCTCTGTTCTATCACTCTACATAGCCACCCACTGGGTGGGAGTTGCACTGCATAAACACAACACACGTGCATCTAGGTATGTAAATTGTAAAGCATTAAAACATGGTTTTACTAACAGTTTTCAGTATGTTGTTACTTCGGCATTATTATTATTATTATTTTGAAACGTGTATTAATATTAAATCACGGTCAAATAGGTTAATTTTGACATAGTCGTTTCCACCACAGTATTTACATGGAGAAGATAAGCCCCGCCCCCTCTCCAGCACGTTCTGTTTGAATGACAGGAGTAAACAGCTGACAGCCGCTGTGAAACTCCAGCGGTTAGAGCGATGAGAATGTCCGTTCGGCACCTCATGACGCATCTACTGAGTACCGGACGGCTGTATATATATATATGGATGTATAATAAGAACGGCGGGAGAGTGTTGAGTACTGGCACGGTGCATGAGTACCGGAGTACCGCCAGCATGCCGGTACTGAGCAAGAAGTGCCGGTACTCCATGGGTCAGAACCAGAAGTGCCGGTACTGCGTACCGGTGAGTACCGGCCCAATTCCAGCACTGGTTTGACGAGGATATTCGTCTGTGTAATAGCCTCCTGCTCCGACTGTGCAAGAAGGAGCCAGTCGTCTAAATAGGCTGCCAGGCGAAAGCCCTGTTGTCTCAACGGGGCGATTGCTGCCTCCGTACATCGTACAAACACCCGTGGACTGAGAGACAGGTCGAAGGGAAGCACTCTGTACTCGTAACAGACACCCTGAAAAGCGAACCTCAGATATTTCCTGTGTGGATAATATATTGGGATGTGAAAATACGTGTCTTTCAGGTCGATTGATGTGAACCAATCGCCCTGACGCACGAGACGCAGCAGAGATGCGTGAGTGAGCATCCTGAACTTGTATTTTCTGAGGTATATGTTCAGAGCCCTTAAATCCAGGATAGGGCGAATTCCGTTCCCTCCCCGTTTGGGGACGAGGAAATACCTGGAATAAAAGCCGCCATGACTCTGTTCGGGAGGCACTATATTGATGGCCTTTTTTTCTAACAGCGAGAAAATCTCCTGCTCTAGAATACGGGCCGACTCTCCCGGGCTTGTGAATGCACAATGCCCAAGAAGTGAGGGGGGGGTGACAGCGAATTGGAGTCTGTAGCCCCGTGATATCTTCCTCAACACCCAAGCTGAGCTTGTGAGCGCTTTCCACCTCTCGCTCATGAGAGTGAGAGGAGAAGTGGCCTCTGCCCTGCTGTAGGCCTTTATTAGTTGTGTTATGGGGCCCTCTAGTGTCTGAACACGATAGTACCCCTGACTGACAACCTCGGCCGACACTGCGCATGCGCGAGGTGATAATGTGTTGACAGACTCGGTTACCGTCCGCTTGTTGAGAGAGGCGACAGCTCCCCTCAGAAACGGCACAGTCGCTCAGGAACAGAGCTCCGATTATGAACATTGGGACAGCTTAAATACAAATTATGTGGGAGGAGTTGTGTGGTTGCTCCTCCTCAGCTATTTTTTATTGGCGATTTCACTTCTGGGCGAGCCCTAGACCGTGAGCTGGTAGTTCTCCATTGGCCAGTTTCACTTCTGGGCGGGACCCTAGGCAATGAGTCAGCAGTTGTTGATTCCATCTGTTTTGCCCCCTCTCCTTATAGTGTGTGTGTGTCCATGTCCCTCTGCCCTCAGGCAGTCCCACAACAATGCTTTGGAGTCATGACAGAACGCACACTCATTCCCCTTTAACGCACACACACACATCTGTTTAAACCAACTACTCCAAAATGTGGTGGCAATTTAGTACTCATAACATGAAAGAATAAAACAGAGAGAAATCAATAAATCACAAACACAGGTATAGTTAAGCAGTAATTATACAGAATATATATATAGCCACTGCAATGAACATACACATATGCAGCATTCCAGAGGCTTGAGCTGTGTGCAAATAAGGATATCCAGCATACATATATAGCCACTACAGTGAACACACACATTCCACCATGCAGCATTCCAGAGGCCTGAGCTGTGTGCAAACAAGGACATCCAGCATATATATAGCCACTACAATGAACACACACATTTTTAGACATGCAGCATTCCAGAGGCCTGAGCCGTGTCCAAATTAGGATATCTCATCTCTCACATCTCCTAATAGAAAGGTTTCACTTCTCATATTTCCAGCTTCTTGTTATACAGCAAACTCACGTCTGGACAGGAACACAGGTTACTTCAATAATCAATAGCAGCCTGAGCGGATGAGACGAAAATATCATCCTCGTCTTCATCTGAGTCGGATAAGAGAAACTCAGAGGCACCCTCTTCGTCTTCCTCTATATAATCCAACTCCAGGACATCCTCCGCGAGCGGAACCACGGTGAGGTCCAGCTGGGAGCCCCAGCTAGCCTCAGCACAAGGCTCAGCCTCCGCGGCGGCTTCCTCCATGTCTCGGTTGCCGGCCGGCACATCGCCAGACATGAAAGGATCTCCTCCCGACAGGCTAGCTTGGCGCGCTGTGTGTCTACAGAAGGTCCAGTTGTGATTGTGACGACCCCTCCACACCGCGTGGGGTGCCGTCTGGTTGTGTGTGTGTTTTGTGTGTGATTGCAGGTTCCAGCTGCAGCTGTTTGATGAGGCGCACCTGCCGGATGAGCTACACCTGTTGAAACAGGATATAGGAGGAGCCAGCCGGTTACGTTTTCGCGGACTCCTGTGGGCACTCTCTCCGTGCCAGCCTCGGGGACTGGTTCTGTCATTACTTTGTTTATAAGAGAATAAACAATTGCTATTTTCTTACCTTTCGTCTCGCCTCCCTGCTTTTTGTTGCAGCCCAGGAGCCGGGTTGTAACAGATGGGGGCTCGTTGCTTTGGACCTGGAAAGCGTGTGTAACTGGATGTCCGTTGTGGGGACGGATTTTGCGCAGCTGCTGTTGTCGCTGGGTGCGGCTGGTTGTTTTGGGAGTAGCGTTGCGGGGGTGAGTGTTTGGCAGTTCTAGTGCACGGAGATGGTATGGCAGCAAGTACGAGCACAGATCGTTAGTTACCGTGGTATAGTCCCTGTTAGGTCTAGTACGGTCTTCCTTGGAGGTCGTAGGGGGGGCTGTTAGTGCGGTGTGAAAGTGGTTAGAGCTATTAGCTCGGGAGCACGCCAAGGCTGCGGGTGGAGCTGCCGGTTTGCTGGTCGCTTCGCCGAGCTTACGGTATTAAGTGCATAAGTACCCGTCATAACTAGCACCTGAAGACTAGCGGGGAGTTTAGCTAGTTTCTGTATAGTTAGAGGGACGGGCCGCGGTAGCGTGTAGGCTGTGTAGTAGCGTGAGCGTGCCACATAGTGTTGTCATGATGGAGAGTGTGGAGGAGTTTGTGAGAGCGCCTACAGAGGAGCTACTGGAGGGCTTCTCACGTGAGCAGCTGATCGGTGTTGCTGAACATTTCCGCTTGGATGTTGGGGATAAGAGGATGAAGGAAAACATAAGAGGGATTGTTAGAGCAAATCTGTTCGAGTTAGGTGTTTTCAAAGGGGGAAAATATACTGTTGATCCTGGCAGAGACAGTGTCAGTACGTCTGGCTGCCGTGATACAGACCTGACTTTTGAGCAGAGAAAGGAGCTGTTGCTGTTGCAGGTAGAAATTAAAAGGCTTGAGTTAGAGGAGCGGAGGTTGGGTTTACCTGCTGGGGCTGCAAATCAGGCCTCTAATTTCCCTGGTAGAGCTACTCCATTTGACGTTGCCGGTAATCTGCGGGTTGTGCCTCAATTTAATGAACGAGATCCAGATAAATTGTTCTCCTTGTTTGAGCGTGTTGCTGAGAGCAGAAAGTGGTCAGAGGCTATTAGCACCTTATTGCTGCAGTGTGTGTGCTAACAGGTAGGGCCCAGGAAGCTTATTCTGCTTTAACGGTGGCGGACAGCAAAGTGTATCAGATGGTTAAAACTGCGGTGTTGAAGGCTTACGAGTTGGTCCCTGAGGCTTATCGACAGAGGTTTCGGTCCTGGGAGATGTCTGACAAGCAGACACATGTTGAGTTTGCCAGGGATCTGGTTACCTTTTTTGGTAGGTGGTGTAACTCCTTGAAAGTGGATACGTATGTCGCATTATGTGAGTTGATGGTGTTGGAGCAATTTAAAAATGCTGTGCCCAGCCACATTGCGGTTTATATCAGCGAGCGTAAGGTGAAAACTGCTGCAGAGGCTGCTGCTCTGGCAGATGACTATGTGCTAACTAGGGATGCTCCGATCGATCGATCACCGATCGAGATCGGCCGATACTCACTCTCTACCGATCGATCGGTGCTCTCTAAACATGCCGATCGACAGAGCCGATCGCATGACGTAAAATACATGACACTTTTCTCTGTGTGCGGCAAAACAAGCTCGCCAAAAGGGCTTCACCGGTCAGGCATTATTTTAAGGTGTCCGAAAAAGACAGTAAAATAGCGGTATGCAACATGTGTGGGAAGCAGAAATCCTGCAGCTCCGCTCACCGGTCCGGCGGGCGAAACACACAAGAGTTAGACCTAACACACTTAGCTATTTTATCTATTTCTGGAACAAGCTAAACTAGTTATTATAAATATATGTATTCTTCACTGTCGGGTCACTTATTACTGGATCAGTGAGCTGCATGAGATACTGACAGGCTGTCAGGAGAGGGAGAGAGGGGGGAGAGAGGAAAAGAGAGCGCTTCCGCTCATTTCTCCCGTGTTATTATCCAAAGTGAATGTAAACTTGAATAATGTACATCATTTGAATGTAATAATTAAGTTTATGTTTGTGGAAGCTCCAGTGAATGAGCCCCATTTACTGAGTTTAAACATCACTTTAAATGGAAGATTTAAAGTGATGTTTAAATTTTCCATTTAGGCCCCGCCCACTCGATCGGATCGGCGATCGGTATCGGCCGATACTGATTCCGGCGATCGGTGATCGGCCCCGAAATTGGCGATCGGAGCATCCCTTGTGCTAACGCACAGGGGCGGTCGCGACTTCAGGGTCCAGGATGGAGCTGGTATGTATCGTGCAGGGAGATGGGAAGAGAAAGCAAATCCGCACTGGGTTGAGCGTGAGATGCGAGGTCAGCCACATGGTGATTCGGAAATCTGTCATTTCTGCAGGGAGAGAGTGCACTGGAAGGCTGACTGTCCCAAAGCTAAGGCTAGCAGGGGGAACTGTGTAGGCCAGTTTAACTCTGCTGCTTGTGCTGTGTCTGTGGTACCCTTACCTGTCATCTCTCCCTGTCAGCAGATTAATGAGCCATCCGGGTGGAAGGACCCACCGTTTTCTGCATTTGTGTAAACCGGATACGTGTCATTGGTGGGAAGTGATGTCAGCGTCCCGGTAAAGATTTTGAGAGACACTGCATCGTATGACTCATACATTCTGAGCTCTGTGTTGCCGTTTTCGGACCAATCTGGAACTGGGGATTTTGTCCGGATGGGAATGAATGTTGTGCCTGTTCCTCTGCATTCTGTTGTGCTTAACTCAGGTCTGGTGCAGGGTGAGGTCGCCATGGGGGTCCGTCCTGTAATGCCAATTGGTGGTGTGGATGTTATCCTGGGTAACGGCCTGGCTGGCAGCCGTGTGTGGGCTGAGGGTCCACCGCCTACCATGCAGTCATCTTCACCTACTGGGATTGTTAAGGCAGAGGAGAATGCCAAGTGCTCTCCTGCAGTGTTTGTAGCTTGTCCTGGGACACGGGCTGTGAGCCATGCACAGGAGGAATCTGAACAGGGTGAAGAGGTCAGTGCGAGAGATTCTGTGGTTATTCCTGACTTGTTGTTGTCGGTATCCCGCAGTGAGTTGGTGATGGAGCAGAAAGCGGATGTCTCCCTCAGTCCGTTTTTTGAGGCGGTTCTCTCCACCGAGGATGGAAATGGTGTCACCAGGGGTTGTCAGCTGCATGGGGGAGTGCTGGTCAGAAAGTGGTGGTCAAGTGGGAAAGGCTTCATTGGTGGGCCAGTGCATCAGATTGTGGTTCCTGTCAGGTTTCGCGAGGAGGTCCTCAGAAAAGCGCATGGGCAGTCGGGACATCTGGGTGTGGTTACCTGTTGCGGTATTTCTTTTGGCCTGGTTTGAGGAAAGATGTGTCTCGGCATGTTGGATCATGTCACGCGTGTCGGACGGGTGGGCCAGTTCGGCAGCGACCTGGGGGTCAGGTCTTGGGTTTGTTGCCGGGGGCTAGGTTGCGGTTTCTGGAGGGACATTCCGGGTTCCTCCAGGGGCTGGGTCAAGGGACTGGCCAGAGTGGTTTTCTGTCATCGCCGTAATATCGGAGAAGTGCCAAATTGGGTAATTAACGGTGTTCTTAGGGGAACTCCTTACTTATGGGGGGGGAGTGTGACGACCCCTCCACACCGCGTGGGGTGCCGTCTGGTTGTGTGTGTGTTTTGTGTGTGATTGCAGGTTCCAGCTGCAGCTGTTTGATGAGGCGCACCTGCCGGATGAGCTACACCTGTTGAAACAGGATATAGGAGGAGCCAGCCGGTTACGTTTTCTCGGACTCCTCTGGGCACTCTCTCCGTGCCAGCCTCGGGGACTGGTTCTGTCATTACTTTGTTTATAAGAGAATAAACAATTGCTATTTTCTTACCTTTCGTCTCGCCTCCCTGCTTTTTGTTGCAGCCCAGGAGCCGGGTTGTAACAGTGATAGACACGGTTCACCACTGGATATGAGCTTTTATTGTGGCCAGCCTAAGGCACACCTGTGCAATAAGCATGCTGTCTAATCAGCATCTTGATATGCCACACCTGTGAGGTGGGATGGATTATCTCGTCAAAGGAGAAGTGCTCACTATCACAGATTTTTTCAGATTTGTGAACAATATTTGAGAGAAATGGTTATTTTGTGTATATAGAAAATGTTTTAGATCTTTGAGTTCATCTCATGAAAAATGGGAGCAAAAACAAAAGTGTTGCATTTATATTTTTGTTCACATGACAATAAAAGCCTTGAATCTTGAATCCTTGAAGTACAATTTTGAGGTATTTGTTCTTTACTTGAGTATTTCGATTTATATTCTACTCCACTACAATTCAAAGGTGAATCTGCAATTATTTAATACCTTTAGTTACTTTGCAGATTTTGATTAATGATGTAAAATATAATCAACTCTTAAATCAGACTTTAGTCCCACCTGGAGTAAATCCACAAGCTCCCTGCAGTATACAAAGTCATTCAAACCTTTACCAGCTTTTTTGTTTTGTTTTCATACATCAATAGAACATACATGGAGATGCTTACATAACTGCAGCTATTGTACACCTGGATTAATCATACATTACATATTACATGTCATTTGTTAGACGCTTTTATTCAAAGCGACTGACATACATTCAGTACTGTGGACAATCCCCACAGGAGCAATTTTGGGTGAATTGTCTTGCCCAGGGACACAACGACATGCTGACTGCAGTGGGGTTTGAACCTGTGACCCCCTGATCCAAACACCAAGGCTCTACCCACTGAGCCACAGCCTCCCTACATACATACCCTCCTTGGGCACCGAAAGGACATACAGTTTCTTAGTGTTATCAATTTCTATATTGTGCAAACATTATCAACATATTACAGATATTATCACTCCCCCCTCATCGGAAACATGATCGCACAATACCTGAACCATTATGATAGTAAGAGCCAGTGCTTTACCATCCAGATGAAACAAGTACAAGTGCAGTGAATACAATAAATTAAAAAGAAAGAAATACAAATAAATAAGTAAAGAGATCTGATGTTGCTTGTATTAATGGGGACCATTTTTCCTCGAATGTATCAGTTTTCAGCTGTAGTCTTGCTGTGATTTTCTCCATTAAATAAACATGTTTTACCCTGTTTCTCCAGTGGACTATATTGGGGGGCTGCGGCTTCAGCCACGAGACCGTTATCATTTTTTTCGCAATTAGAAGAAGAATTCTTAGTAAGAAAGCTACATTTCTGTCCATATCACTGGGCAGTATACCCAGTGTATATAAAGTGCTGGGTCCAAAGTAAAGGTAATGCCCAGCACCTGTTTAACCTCCTTTTGAACATCCTTCCAGAAGCCCTGAATGGTTGGACAGTCCCAAAATATATGTGTGAAGTCTCCCACCCGTCCACAGCCCCTCCAGCACAAATTAGAGGTATTGCTATATTTTGAAGTGATAGATGGGGTGTTAAAATATCTCATTTTCACCTTCCAATCAAATTCCCTCCATGTTGGACTGTTTGTTATTGTATGTCCCACCTTGAATGATTCTTCCCAATCCTCGTCGCATATTATAATATTCTCTTCCAACTCCCATTTTTCTTTGACATCCTTATTGTTGCTGTTACATTCATAATGTAGTACCTTGTAAAGTTTTGATATAGCCCCTTTTTTTGTCTCGTCCCCTGTATATGTCATTAACAGTTCCTCTAGTTTAGATGGGGCTTTGCGAATGTTTTCCCATTCCTTATGCTTCTGAAGGTAATGTCTCAGTTGCAGGAATCTATAAAAGTCACAGGATGGTAGGTTAAATTCCTATTTCAGTTGTTCAAATGATTTAATGGTTTGTCCAGTAAAGAGTTGTGTAATATATATTAACCCCTTATTTCCCCATGTTTTAAATCCTGAGTCCATAATATATGGTAAAAAGTCTGGGTTTTTAGCTATTTTAGTGGCCCTGCTAATAGAGTTTGACAGCTTTAATTCCTTTCGTACCTCTGACCATATCTTCATCGTAGCCCTGATCCTCTCATTGCAAGTCCCCAACCCTTTCTGTGCCTTTTCTGTCAAAAATGGAAGTGCTCCCACAAGTACATTATTACATGACTTTTGTTCCATATCAACCCAAATTGTTTCCGTGTCTTCAGTTATCCACATAATTATTGCTCTAATTTGTGCTGCCCAATAGTAATATTTTAAATTAGGTAGATTCAACCCTCCATTCTCTTTTGTACATAGAAGTGTCTTATATTTAATTCTCGGTTTTATATTTTGCCACAGGAATTTTGATATTATTTTGTCCATTAATTTAAAAATAGATTTAGGGATCACAATAGGCAATGACTGGAACAGGAATAAAAGTCTTGGCAGTATATTCATCCTAACCGTTTCTATTCTTCCTGTTAGATTAAGAGGTAGAATTCCCCACCTGTCAACATCTTTTTATCTCATTTATCAGTTTCCCATAGTTTGCCTCAAATAGCTGAGATGTGACAGGAGTAATATTAATACCCAAATATTTGAATCCTTTTGTGGCCCATTTAAATGTAACCTGACCCTCCAACCCTCCTGGACGGTCACCTGAGATCATCATAGCTACAGATTCTGCTTCATTGGTCAAATAACCTGATATCTCCCCGTATTCATTAAGATTGTTCAACAAAGCTGGAATAGATGAGGAAGGCTCACTTATATATGTTAATATATCGTCCGCGAATAATGAAATGTTGTGTTCTTCTCCCCCCTTGTCTCTTATTCCTTTTATGTCTTTATTTTGTCTAATTAATTCAGCCAACGGTTTGATACTTGCGGAAAATAGTAACAGACTTAAACAATCTCCTTGTCTAACTCCTCTTTTAAGGTTAAAACAATCTGAGCAACAACCATTTACTCTAATACGTGATCTTGGGTTGCGTTCCGATAATCCAAAAATCAGCTCCTAAATTCTAACCCTATCTCCTATTCCTTGACCTCTGAGTGAAACGTCACAGGGTTAAGGGATAGTGGATAGGAGAATTCAAAAGGACTTAGGAGAAGAGACTGCGGTACTTTAGAGAATCCGACTGCACTTTCACTATCCGACGTGTTTATGATGCGCCAGCGGACGTCATGAATGTGCGTCTGCTGCTGTGGGGAAACTATGGAAACTACAGTTTTCTATACAGCGGACTACAACATGGATGTTTAATAAGAACGAGGGACTACTGTAAACTCATCTAGAGACTCTGCACCGTGCTCTGATGCTGTTGCTTTATGCTTTATGAACGTGGACAACAGAGAAACATATTCTTCATGACCAAAGTTGGAATTGAAATAAAAAAGGAAAGTGAAACGTATGCTCGTCACCCTCTCCCTCCGGTCCACATTAATACAAATGATCCCAATACGTATGATTGTATGAAAATATCTTAAAATCAATAGAAATGTATTTATTATAAACGTTAGTCCTTAACATCTATCACTGTGTATATCACCATTCAAACATCTTTTAAAAGTTGAACAACTCCACACAGTTCAGTGAAATATTGACTTTATTTGATCATTTCAGTAAAAACTAACGTTCATATTTCTCTTTTTGATTATAATACTGATGAACGTTCAGAAAAAAGCACTTTGGCAACTTACCACATACGTTTTAAAATGCTTAATAAGCACCGTAACGTTCATGATATAATTTCTCGGTCATAATCGGTTGTTTCCGTGAACGGCCGACTGTTGAGTGACGGCAAATGCTGCGGCTGCAATGCATTGTGGGGCAGCATTTTCTCCTCTCCTTTCGGTTAGGGAGGTCCAGTGGTTCCTAAGCTAAAGGAGGTTATAAAGGAAGTTTGAAACCTCCTTTCCTTTCATTTAGAGAATTGGAACGGCACTTATCATGGCTGCCACTGAGGGACTTCCGGGTAATTTCACTCCGTTAGGAAGGTTCCTAAGCTAAATGGACTATTGGAACGCAACCCTGGACAGACACCATTTTTATCCAATCTATGAAGGTTGATTGAAACCCAAAAGCATCCAGTGTGTTGTACAAAAAGCTCCACTTGACCCGATCAAAAGCTTTTTGTGCATCTAAGCTTAGTAACATGGTTGGCTGAGGATTGTTTTTAGTACATGATATGAGATTTAATGTTCTCCTAATATTATTAGCCCCTTGCCTACATGGGATAAAACCTGTTTGATCCGGTTTGATAAGTTTGGTTATACATCTTTGCATTCTCCGAGCCAATATTTTTCGTCAATATTTTTAGATCGTTACAAAGCAAGCTAATTGGCCTATATCCCTCACATGAAGTTGGATCTTTGCCCTCCTTATGTAGGACAGATATAATGGCTTCAGACCAAGTTTTCGGTGGATTACCTGAAGATAGAGCATAATTAAAAACTTTAAATAATATTGGTTTATTTTATTTATAAAATTCACCTGGAAACCCGTCTGTACCAGGGGATTTGTTATTTTTCAAAGTTTTTATAGTGTCAGATATTTCCTGCAATGAAATTGGCTGTATCATTTGAGATGCCTCCTCCTTTGTTAATGATGGTAAATGTAATCTATGAAGAAATTGTTGTGTTTTGGATTCTGTAAATTTAGAGTCTGAGTCATCATATAGCTTTTCATAATAATCTGCAAATGCTCCTGCTATCTCTGATGGGTTTGCCAACATTTGTTTAGAATTAGGGTGTCTTATTTTAGATATTATCCTATTTTGCCTTTCTGAGTTTGAATGCGAGAAGGCGACTTGCTCTGTTGCCCATTTCATAGTATCTCTGTTTTGTAAAACGTAGAGCTCCTTCTGCTTTGTATGTCAGAAGTTCATCCAATTTACATCTGTTTCTTTTTAGTTCAAGTAAGGTGCTATTGTTGGATGCTCTTTTATGTTCTCCCTCCAATTCTCTAATTGTACTCTCCAA